CGCCCCGTCCCCTTAGCCACAGCGGCGTGTGTCCTCCGGCGGCGGCGGCGCTCCTGCGTGCCTGGGAGCGGGGCAGGGGGGTTGACACCAGCCGCGGGGGCATGCCTGGCACCGCCGTGCCTGCCCAGCGCACAAGCCCCTTTCCGCGCCGGGCGCGAGCCGCGTTTTGGCTTTTCCCTTTCCTGCCCCCGAGTCCGCCGCGGAGGAGGGACGCCGAGCTCGCTCGCTCGCCCACCGGCGCCTGAGAGGGAAGAAACGCGGCTCCCTCAGACGCCCGCCGCCGCCTCACCCGCCTTGCTGCTGTAGTGCCCACACAGGGACGTTTCGCACACAGCCCCTGCATCGCTAAACGGCGATTTCGCTCCCTCGTGTGAAAGAGCGTTAGCCAAATAAACGAGCAAATCTCTGAATGTGAAACGCTGACATAGTGTCCCGACCTGTCTTCGGCTCCTGACACGACTGCTCTTTCCTCCGCCCTCTGCCATGCCTGATCCTGCACCGCTTGAATTACTACCTCTGTAGGATCTCCCTTACACACCCTTGGCATTCCCCCACCCCCTTTGCTATTTTCCTCCTTCCTTCCCTGCTTTACCTTTTGTTTGCCTCGTTTCTACCTATTTACATCCTCACTGACATCCTGTCACACTTCTGGCTTCTCTCATTCCTTGGAGTCTCAGATCAGCGGAGACTCCCTATGTCTGAAGAAGGGTGACTGTGCCCCAAAAGCTTGCCAAGAACTTTTATTTCCAACTACTCAGTTGGTCTAATAAAAGATATCACATCTACCCAAAGGACCCTGCCTCGGTAAAGACAGGTACTTGCTTTGCAAGCAAAGCCAAAGCAAATGCCCCCTTGGAAAGGTCTCTCTAGGTTCCCCTTGCAAGAAGAAAGTGTATTTTTTATGTCCAGGAGATGGTGTCTGAGGTGGAGGGGGGTTAAGCCTGAGCAGTCTAAACATTTGGGCACTTTTCACATCTACCTTCTCTCTCACTTTTCCTTTTTCCAGTTCATCTGGTGCACGATCAGGCATGGCAGAGGGGAGAGGAGGGAGCAGTTGTCTCTGGGGCAGAACAAAGGTCAGGACACTGGGTCAGTGTGGTAGGGCAAAACGCTTCAGCATTTCACATTCAGAGATTTGCTCTTTCATTTAGTTAACGCTAATTTATAAAATGAAGTTTCCACTGGATTAAAGTGTCATCGTTTTTTTAAAAAAGCATTACATGTTGCAGAGGTTTGGGCGGGGGCTTAACCACCTTTATCCCACACTGTCTTGAATAGCATAATTTATGGTCTTAACGCATTAGAATGTGTTGTCTCTTGGTATCAGCCATTGCAACGGGAAAGGAGAGAAGTGGCTCCTGCTCCCGTCACCTCTCTTCTGGCACTTCCATGGCTTTGGTACCAGTTATTGAGTCAGAAACTTTTGAAAGTAGTTTGCTTTTGCCGGTAGAATTATTTGCTTTTGTGGTGGAACTTGACAGCCAAGATGTTTTTAATCAGGGAAGGAGGCAAAAGAGGTTTCCAACTTACTTCAAATAAGAAGCCCTACTAAAGGGGCATCGATAAGTGGAGTTTATACAAAAACCCCCAAAACCTGGCTCTTCTGTTTCTATTAAATCTATCAAGGGATTAAAGAGCAAATGAGTCTTTAAAGAGCAAATAAGGATTTGGCTATGTACTAACTTGGGGCCAAGACTATGTTTCCATTTACACTTCTTTCGGCTTGAACAATGAAACTAATGCAATCACTTTTACATTCCTTTACTGTTCGTTTCTGATCAATTGGACTTCCAAGGTCTCATGCACTAAGCCAGTGGCAGGGTGAAACACTGAATGTGAAATGCTGAAGAGATTTGTTTTTTTATTTAGTTAACACTAATTAATTTGATGAACAGTTTCCATTGGATTGAAGTGTCACAGATTTTTAAACGCCATATTTTTTTCCTTTGTCTGCCTCGATCTTTGCTTTTATTTAAATCACTTGGTGGTTTGCCACTGGCAAGGGCAAGGCAGGATCTTTCCTACCTGGTGTTATAATTAACTTTTTGTTTAATTCTTGGTTTGAGCAGTCATGAAATTGATACCAGAACAAATTTCAACATACTGTACTGCGCTTCTTTCTTTAGAAGCAGTAGAGGGCGCACAGTTAAACCAAATGCTATTTTTACCCAGGGTTTTATACAAATATTGGTGAGTCTCAATTTGTCAATAGTTATTTTAAAAAATGCAGCAACCTTAAAAAAAAGACTTCTAAAGGATCTCTCATACATGAACCAATCTACTCATATGTGCTAATAGGAAACAGTACTGGTATACATGATTATTTTTATTTGCATGAAACATTGCATCTTGTGTTTCTTACTCTTCACAGTTTCTGAGCAATGTCAGTATTTTATTTTATTTTATTTTTACAAAAGACCAATATTTGGAGAATTCTAAAGTCAAGATTTACAAACAGAAGCAAAGTTGCAAATTCTGAGGCTTTGCCTGCTTTGCCAGCATTCCTTGAAAACAAATAGCAAAGAGAAGGTGCAATATTTATTGTCAATTAAATAGTTTTATGTTTTGAGAACCATCACAGTTTATTTAGTAAAGTTACTGCAAGATTTCTTAGTATATCTTGATTTTAGAGTGCTAAAGGGAGGGTAATTTTGTTTAATTGCTTAATGTTTCCCATTAACATTAATGCCAGGAGAAATCTGGTTCATATATGTATTTTTTTGGGGGGGGAAGGGGAAGTAGATAGTTTTCCTCCTGATTGGGTAATTATATTTACCATGTTTTTAGTTGTCAAAGGGTTTTTTTTCCCTTTTACATTTGTTTTGTGGTAGTACTATATGCCATTCATAAGAGTTATGAAGATTGAATGCATTCAGAAAATATTAGGATCCATATTACGTAATTGCTGAAACTATAATTATTTCTAAGTGCTTCCAACTTACATTAATTAACATGCTCATATTTGTTCTTGCAATTGCACAGTTAAATAATAGCTTTCCTTTCTTTCTAACCTCACTGGTTCTTTACATTCTTTGCCTTGTCTTTGTTCTTTTTCCCCCAGTCCTGCAGTTACCTATGCAG